TGTATATGTATGTGTGAGTGTGTGTGTGTGTGTCCCATGTGCGTGCGCGTGGTCGCAGCATAAACGTTAGACAGTACTATGCTAATACATTGCTCTCAGTGTGTCTAGCATGTTCGCGTACACCTGCAGGGACGCCAAAGAGCTTCTATCCTCCGGATTCTCAGGTCGCTACGTGTTCAGATGTGTTCAGCTTTGCAATGCTCAACTCCCAAGTCTATAACCCAAAATCCAGACAACTTTGAGGCGCTTTCGTCAAATTCGAAACCCCTCAGCATCATCATACTCACCATGGGTGTAGGAGCTATTGGGTATAGCAGCCCTTCATCCTGATTACTGGGCTTATGTAAGCGTCTAGAATGAGAGGATCGGTAAGCTCATCGAAATCCTTACCTGGGTCGTGAGAGCCAGACAGCCGCTGAAGAGAAGTGGATCGAGCCTTCAGCACAAGGGATCAGAGCCGGAAGTCTACGACCCCAATACCGTACACCCTTGAGTAGTACCGGAAGACCCTCCCGTCCCTGAAACGGATTTCGAAAGAGCTCCTAAAGCTAAGTCCCGCAAAGGACAAGAGGCGGTTTGCTGATCCGGGCTCTGGGTTATGAAAGCCCAAGCGTCCTACCAGGCCCAGCAGCATGAACTACCTCTGGGCCCGTACTACTCAGGAAGGGCCTTGCGGCAGGAAGGGCTTCAGAATCCGGATCAAAACCTGAGCGCTTCTGATTCTGCAAGCTTGCAGCCCAAACCCTAAGCCCTTAAGCCCTGATCCAAACTCGACGCCGTTGGCTTCTTGGCACCATCGAAGACACATGAATCAATGAAACGCAAAGGTCTGAATCCCCAAACCCTGAACCCTAAACTCTCGTCTAAACCGTCGCTGAGGCACGGTACCCTGGCTGGGACACTGGGTGCAGCCTCACCACTGCCGAGACCCAGCACTGTCTGCGCTGCATCTGCCAAGGCTGTGCCAATAATTTGCTCTCGAATGTCCCAGAAAAAAATTGGGACGAGTTTACTGTTCTATCGGGATCGCGGTAGAGATTCTTGGCTAGGGCTCCTGTGTTGAAACGACGACTTGACTTAAAGCACAAGTCTTTCGGACTTGTCTCGGATTCTTGCGAGCTCCTGAAAACCCTGTGAAAATTTGAAAACCTCACCTCACCCTTGAATCTGAAGTCTAAATTAACATTCCGCAGCCGTACGTCCTTGGCCACGGCACCATGTTGGTTTTGGTCTGTAGCTGGAAAAATTCGGCAGCAACAAATTGAGGTGGCCCTTGCAACAAAAACTCGGACTCGTGGCCTTGAGGGTCATAACGAACTACAAAATTGCCGATGTTGCTTCGCAACTCGACGAGAACTCTCTCCGTGAAGCTCAGAAAGAACCCTCGAAGCTTCAAAATTGAAGCACGAGCCTGCTGGGAAAGAATCGCCCAATAACTGTGCCAGCAGCAACGGTAGGCGGGTCACCTTGCATCTTTGACTTGCTCTGCGGCCCATCTTAACACTGACTCCGCTGGCTATTGAGGCACTCGGAAGTTAGAAACTGCTGGAACACATCAGTCATAGACAAAAACCGACCACTGTAGTGAGCTCGACATCGTTGCAGCCGATCGTAGGCGATGTAAGAGTTTCAGAATATGAGGTACTCCCAAAGCAGAGCAAACCGAAAAGAAAGGAACCCCTGAGTCTAAGAACTCACATCAGCCCTACAAAACAACCCCTTCAAGAAGATCCAAAGTCCAGAAACTCCCCCCCTCCGCCCCTCCTCCCCCCCAAATGCGGGGTGTGCTGCGTCCACCTTCAGCAGGCCATCGGAGGCATCGCCCATGAGAATGCCCACCAGGCAGAGCAGCAAGGCTGCGGCGAAGCCGGCGTAAATTCCGCCCAACGCGACCTTGCCGAAACGGGCCAGAAATCGCGGAACGGGACGCTGGAGTGTGAGTTCACTTTCGGGTGCAGGGTAATTACAAGAGGAGGGCACAGTAAAAATCAAACCTCTCCTGTCGTTTAACTCCAGATCGGGATCAGCGAATCAAGGACACTTCGAGAACGGAGGCATGGTCCTTCGTGCAGACTAACGTATTTAACGATCATTGTATCCATTCTTCAGTTGCGGTCAGGGTACCCGCATAAAGCCTCGCAGAGCCCTTAACTAGAAAGGGACTTTAAACCTTGTCCGCATTAAAACCCCTATACCACTCTAAATTTCGACAGCCAGCGCCCAGACATTGCCCCTGCCTGGATTTGGACCTTACGCGAAGGAGCCAACCTCGGCCAGCCGGCTCTGTGACTGGAGGCTACATGCCAAGGATATTCGAAAACCCTTTAAAAGAACATCCTTTAGGGTTTTTGGAGGACGGGTTTGAGTCTTCGGATTTGCCGCGCCGGATCTGTGGCCGGGCAAGAATTAAGAATGAAAGAAGGCCTGGGTTTAGGGTTTGGGCCTGTGGGCTTTAGCTATACAAAGGTTTGGGACGGGCCCTGTAAATCCCTGCAAAAATCGACAGGAAAAGCAAACGCCACGCCAGCTCTCGGCCGCGGGCCCCTTGATCGTCCAGGTGCGCCCGACAGTGCCAAGGGCCGACGATGGGATGAAGTAGCCGCCCTGGACCTCCCAGGGCTGACCCTAGGGAGATGTTAATGACCAGACTCAAACCTAGCCCAAGCCTAAAGTATCATGTCTCTACATATACAGACTGGTGCGTGGCCTCAACGCCAAATTGATCTGCCACCAGGCCACGCCCTAACCCTTGGGCGAAGAGCATGAGAACAAGGCCCAAGCCCACTGGCCCAACACCATCCGGATCCAAGCCTGGGGATCTATAGGTTCTATAGCAAAGAATACGGTGTCCTGCTTATCGTATCTCGAAAATTCTATCTCCTTAACAAGAAGGATACAGATCGCTATTATGGCAACCGAAATAGTAACTTCCTGAAACAAGAGCCCAGGTTCGGGTGACCGCCACCCCGAGGAGCGGACTGTAGGTCACCTCTTCTACAGAGCGGCCCACAAGGATGTCGCTGCCTTAGGGCGCCGAAACGGCAGAACGCAGAGCAAATTTTTACCTTACTAGCAGCGCTATGTTACATGTATGTGGGTGTGAAAGCAAGAAGTGCATCTGTATATGTATAATGTATACGCGCAGACGCACATCCGTCTCTCTTTTTGTTTCCTCTCTTCGTCTCTCTCTAGATACATAAACCAGTATTACGACCGCCAGAAGCAGAACCCCTACATCATCAGCACAAAACTTAAATTGACAAAAGAAGCGCGTTGCCGAGGTACCCTGGCCTTCTAAGAAGCCTACAGCAGCTGAGATGATGTTGCAGAAGACCAGGGTGGCCACGAAAGAGGCGCCGACTGCAAATCGCCTTCTTGCTTCAGCTTTCTATAGGCTCTACCACTCGATATGATGCAGCGATCATATGAGGGATCTAGCTAAGAGCTTCATGAGACTCTATGGCTTGCCGATCTGTCAAAATCAAAAGGAGAAACGCTATAGATCGCTCTAACTCTGGATGAGTTCACAGCGAACTCAAGCCGGCAGCCACACATATTCAGCCGGTGACCAATGTACCTTAAGCCCCAAAGGCATGTGCCTGAAGCTGTCCTTGCCGGATGGTATGGGCAAGTCCGATGTGCGAAACACGAGAAGCGCCGCCGGCAGTTCCTGCGACGGCGCAGCAGTGCGAGGGCTCTTTGGCTGTGAGCTCTACAGGACAGCCGCAACAGTCACCAGCATGACGAACTTTCAGGTAAACTCCCTCCTCTCCCTCACAAGGCCTTGTCAGAAGGGCTCCAGACCTTCACAGGATCGAACTGACCTCCCAAGGGGCAAGAGTTGGAGCTTTTGGGATGTCCTTGCTGGGTCGATGCTGGTGCTTGAAAGCGTCAGGGCTTTCCGGGTCTTCGGGTCTTCTGCCTTCCGACTGCCCCACCTGAAGCAACTCAAGGGAGGCATCCCAGGGTCCCAACAGCTGATAACTCGAAAGCCAATTGACGAGTTCTGACGCATCGGGAACCACCGGAACTCGGCACAAACTGTGCCATGAGCCGAGAGCCGACAACTTTAGAAGCCCTAGTCGCCGTCGTCTGAAATCACTGTGACACCAGCCGGAGAAACTTGCAACTGTCGTCAATTACGACAAGTGTACGTAACTCCAAGTAAATTGCCCTACACTCCATCAACAAAGTCCTGACACCCGCAAGCCGTAATCTCCAAAACCCCTCAAGCCGTCAAGTCTTCTGGAAGCCCCACAAGGCCGGAATTAAACTACCCCCAATCCCATACCAATCCTGTAACTGCAAAACCTACACCATATACAGCAAGCACCCCTGTAAAACCCTGAGCAAACCTGTTATTAAACAGCTGCTTCTTAACAGTTAAGCCGAGCCCCTATAAAGACTCTTAAGCAACCCTATAGAAACCTCTAGAAACCTGAAGCCCGAAGCCTATATAGACATCCTGAAGAAGCCTTACAGCAGCCAATAGAAACCCTCCCTAAACCCAAAACCCTAACCCGACAGGACCTTTGGGCCACAGGCTCAGGCCCGGAGCAGGTGGAGGGCGCTCTCTCTGCAGGAAGACCTCAAGGGAAACATCGGGCTCTCTGAGATGCTCTCAGATTGGCCTGTCGTATATACCTTTCTGGGTTGGTGGGAAGCTCCCGGGTTTGTCGGGGAGAGAGGGTCTTGGGTTAAGTTGTGGGTGTTGGGAGCCTGGGGTTTGGAGGAGGGTTCTGCTAAGGCTTTGCAGAGACTCTGCTGGGGGGGGGGGGTCGGGAGATAGTCTCGGGCTTTGTGTTCACACTTCCGACTTGAGATGTCTTCCTTGCCGTATCGCTTCAAGTGTAGAATCCCACCAAACTTGAGCTTTATAGAGCTCCTTCACCTTGAGGTTTCAGGATCGGCACTTCGGCCTTTTTCAGACTTACGACTTGGCTTAGGACGTGCGGCCGTTTCGAAAAGGCTTTAGGGTGCTTTCGGATTTAAGCTGTTTCGATTTCTCGGGATGTTGAAAGCTGGCGGGGTTCATAGGTTCGCGAAGGTGAAGTGGCTGAAGGGTCTAAGTCTAAGTTCCATCAGGCCTTCTGAAAGCTTTCTTGAAGAGTGCCTTATGGTGGTGAGGCTGGACTACTAAAGGCCTAAGGCAGGTTCGGCCAATCGGCCAAAGGGATGGTGTTTCGAATTCCAAACTTTGAATGATCGGCGTTCTTCTCTAAGAAAAACTGCTCAGAAGAAGAAGACGTGACCTCAAAGGGAGCCTTAGCCTAACATAGAGGAATCTGCTATGATCGACCTTGTGGAGGGAAGCAGCTGCTGATAGAATCTCCCCTCTCATGACAGCTCTTGCAGCCCAAACTCCGTGAGGTTGCCTGACCCATACCTTAAGTTGGGGATGTTGATGGAGAGTCTGAAGGGCTCTATGGGTATCCTTTAGAGTTTGTTAAGATTACTTTGAGGGATCTGTAGGATGCAGCAAGCCCAGGAAGGTCCCGGGTTCAGGGCGACAGGCTAAAGCTTGCAGCTGCACTAGATGGTTCCGTGCTGCACTAATTTGTAGCACTCCTGTAAATACAGGGCCTTAATGATTAGAACAGGGTTTTGGGGTACCGTGTACTATACTTGTGACAAGGAGCCCCCAATATAGTGTAGGTAATCATTTGGGACCCTATGTTACGCTACTCTAGGGGCTCGAGCATTCAGGAACCCTACAGACGTCCGGCTTTGCTGTTGCCATTTAGTTAGTCAAACGCAACTACGCAACAGCGTTGCATTATGCGTTAGAGCACAAGAACCATGTAGGTGATGCTTCACTAAATAAGTCTGAAGGCAAGACGAAGCACGTTACTTAAGCCTTACGCCCTGAAACATCCCGTCAACCCTCAAACACCGAGGGGCCGCTCGTCCAATGCTGCCTGCCGGTCCTCCAGGAATTGTTGCAACGTCCCTCGTCCGCCGACATCCCGCCTTTTCGGGGATTTTCATGTAGGGCTCTCGGGTTCCAGGTCTTGGTCTTTAGGGCTGTAAGGGGTCAGGCGGGGACATCGGGTCTCCGTTTCTTGGGGCACACCGTGGGAACCTGATTAGGTTAGGACAACTTTGGCTCCCAACCCCCTCATAGGTTTCAGAAGCAGACTCCGAACAAGAACCAGGGTGTTGTAAAAAAACCAAATTCCCACATTCGGGATGTGAAGCTCAGGGTTTAGGGAAGACTCTGGAGGGTTTCTTCGCCCCCAAGACATCCCCCTCCAGCAGTGCCAGGGTGAAGAATACGCCATAAGCAATAAGGATCTATAGGATGGAAATTTCATGACCCAGCAGCACAACGGCCCAGATCCCTAAACCCCTTTGAACGCCTGGTAGAAGGGCAACTCTTCCGCCTAAACCCTGAACCCTCAGCCCCAAGCCCTAAACTCCTACCGGAAACTCGTGGAACTGACAGGCCAAGGAGCGCGAGAAGTCCCCGCAGGACCAGGCAGCGCCCCAGGCTAAGATCTTGGAGGCCGGCTTGCTAGATAGGGTTCCTTCAAAAGCTCTTGAAAAGGTGTGTACTATGATGTAAGGGCCTGAATATCAAGGAAAAGCATTACTTGTAGCTTTCTAGTTATTCAAGGAGTTTCGAGGTCGGCGTGAAGATCTGAGAGTCGGATCCTGTAGGGATGGTTGGGGCTTTAGTGGATTTAGAAGTTCTTGTTTCAGGATCCACTTCAGCCATGTGTTGCGAGATGAGCCCGGTCTCTGATTGCTGTGTGGTGACAGCTGTGCTTGGGTGGCAGTCCTTCAAAAGCCTTCCCGGACAGGTAATGCTGACGCTGCCAATTCTGCATCTTTCCCTTGTTGCACCGTGAAGGCCTCGACCTGAATCCCTAACCCCTAACCACGACTGGTACTTCTGGTCCCTTCAATAGGTCGCCGGGCTCGAAGTGACGGTGAAGCCACTGCCCGCCCTTGGAGTTTCAAAATCCGGCACTGTTTTTGGGCATTGCGTGTTTGGGGGCTGCTTGTTGTTGATGAACATGACAGCATCACGATGGCTTTTCGAGCGCGCCAAAATCAAGCCTTCGGAAATTGGGCTTGCAGTGAACATCAGCTTCCATGTGTCCGAAACAGACGAAGCTTTTGAGGCAACTCTCAGCAAAACGCATGCTACCCGAAGGCCAAATCCAATTGCCCGAGGAACAAGACTATTCTCCACTAACTCTAGAGTACAACCACCTGCAAACTCCATGCAATTCTAGGTTGAGGGATTCGGATTCTGGGGCTTGGGATTGATAGGGCCGGAGCCCAATCAGCGATGAAGTATCGCGAAAGCCGACATGTCAAAGTCTGTGCCAGTACAACCGCGGGAAGATTCGAACAGTCCCCCGCCACCCCCTTCAAAAACAACAGAGACAGACAGACAGCCAGTCAGCCAGGCAGGCAGGCAGGCAGACAAACACACAACATGCACACACCTGCAAATACACGCATAGATCCCAAATTAACACCCACAGGCGAACAAATGCCAACAAAACAACCAACACAAATGCTAGTCTGAACTTCACTCGGGGCTGCATCTGCAAGGCTTCTCGCAGCTCGCCCACTTCGAGGACCTCTGCAGACTCCTGCGCGGCGCTTGAAGCTGCTTTTTGGCTCTAATGTTTCGGGTTTAGGACTTTGGGTGTCAAAGATTTTGAGCTTTAGAACCTATAGGGTTTTAAGTCTAGGGCCTAGGGTTGAGGGCTCTGTGTGTGTGTGTTGCTGTCTTTCTTCGGCTACCGCTTTTTCAGCTGAAGGAGTAGGCTTACAGACAGCTTACAGGGGCTTAGTGTTGACAATGCCAGGCTTACTGTAGAGGCTGCGATGGGCTTTAGGGTTTAGGGTTTTGAGGCTTTTGAGGCTTTAGGGTTTTGGGTTTAAGAGGTTTTACCTCGGTGGTTCATGGACTCCTCATTGGTCGCCACACCCTCTCAAAACAGAGGAGGCATCCTCCATCGAAGATCGGAGCCCATAAGAAAAAAAAATGAATAATGAAAAAAAGAAATCCACAGCTCGAGAGGCAGCTTAGCCCTCGGCTCGCTACAGTCTTGAAGGCAACCCAATGCTTAACCGCTCCACCGCGACCAAGCCCCCCAAGTCCGAAGCCCCAACATCCCCAAACTGAAAAACCCCGGCCTTGTCAAAAAGTGTCTTCAGAAGCGGCAGTGTGCCAGGCCCCAAAGCATCCCGGAAGCGCGTGACGTCGGCGAGCTGCTGGGAGTCGACGTCAACCCTCCAGTCAATCGGTTTCGGGTTTAGGCTTTAGGGCTCCGTTTTTGTGCTTTTTTGGACGTCCCTTTTCTTCTGTTTGCAGAGGTCAGGAAAGCGGTCCCGCCAGGGGTGTTTTGTGGAACCAGAGAGGAAGGGCCCAGGGTTAGGGCTTATAGGGTCCAAGAGGGTTGTCCAAGATTGTCTTGTTGGGGCTAGCCAGGTGTTTCATAATCAGTCCAAGCTCTGGCGCGCAGGGATGCTCTCAGCAAGAAGTTAGAAATTGAGGTTTCGTGATGTTCACATTCCTACATAGTCCTGGCCTATCACCGCTTAGGAAAGTCCTATTCCACAATCCGCTGCGCGCTTCCAGCAAAACCTTGATGTGGCGTGCTTCCGAAGCGGGAAAACCGACAGAGAGAGAGGGAGAGGTCTTTCCGCGGGTCAGGATCAAAGGGCTCTTAGGGCTCTGGGGTTTCAGGTCATCGCCAAGCCACGCTGCCAGGTCGAAGATGCTGAGGACCTCTCTTCTCCCGGACGGCTCAAACTCTGATTGCCCTAACTACTAACCCTAAACCGGAAGCCCTAAACCCGGTTCCCCTAAACTCAAAAGCCCTGAGGGTGCCGATTCTAGGCTCTTCTGTTGGATATGCTGGGGAGGCTCAGGGGCTTGGCCAAAATCTTATACTTGCGCTTCGTACTCGAAACACCAGACAATTTGGAGATCGTAGACCCCAAATTCAGCCCAAGTCCTGAGCACCCTGAGCCCTGAACCCTGCATCTCCCATCTTCGCTCATTATGGGAGCCTTTCACAGTTGGAGTCGACTAAGGTTGCTGGGTATACTACAAGTACTATAAATAGTATGTCTTAAGACCAGGAAGACGAGTGGTACTTACTGTGTATAACTTACTAGATACAGTAGGGAGGCCTAGGAGGAATACCCGTGGTACTTGTCACAATGAGGCCCCTACATAACTCTACATCTATATCTATATCTATATCTATGTCTATATCTATATCTATATCTATATATCTGTATATATCTATATATATATATATTTATATTTATATTTATATTTATATAGGATCCGGATCCCCACGGGCCTTCCCCGACTCCTCCGGCGCCTCCGCGTCGGGAGCGAGGCTTCCGAGCCTTTGGGAAGCCTGTGGGGCGACCTCCGCTGGAAGCGGAGACTTGCGGGGTCTTACTTAGGGCTGTAGGGCTTTGCGGTTTTGGGTTGTGCTTTTTGGCGTTGGGTTTTGCTCAGGGCTGACTGTAGGGTTGAGGGTCTATAGATTCAAAGTTTGGGACTATAGCTATCGGTTTTGCGTTAAGGCATGAGGGTAGGGGGTTGCAGTTTGGGAGTTTAACTACGGTTTTGAGGATGACGCTTGAAGCTTTGCTTTAAGGGTTTCGGGTTGAGGGTCTATAAGGGCTTTAGAGTTTAGGGGCGTGGCTGTGCCCATGCTTTCAAGGATGGGGGTTGAGGGTTTTGCCCTGTGGTATTCATGAAGTAGAACCATATGGCGACCCTAAGCTGATACCATGAGCCATGAACTACATTGTAGTTCCTTGTTTTTGGTGTCACCAGTATTCTATTAAGGATCCTGTAAGGTAACCCCAAAAAGGAACTACAATGGAGACTATAGGTACCAACTGTTCAGACTTCTATAGCACCGGGCGGGGAAGGTCTCCAGGCAAAGTGCTTGGCTCCCTTCCTCCAAGCCGCAAGCTCTTCATATTGGCTCCCGGTACTGTTGTCCTAATGTGCAGGCATTTTACTAGATGAGATGATTCGGACCCTATTGCTGTGATGGCTAAATGCTACATTTCGTGGTTACTCCTTTCCGATAAACTGGCCCAGGTATTACCATTTGAAATTTGCGTCACCATGTCGATGTCGGGATGGCCTTCGCCCAACAACAAGACAAGCAGAGGAAGAAAGAAGAAGCAAGAGGATCTGCCAAGCAACTTACAAGCTGGAAAGAAATTCGTGTTCCGAACATTTCACGTAAGCTCATCATCCTAAATTCTTAAACCAAAAGCCCTCAACCTTTCTCAGAAAACCAACTGAATACTTCTGACAACTCTCTTGAAGCCGGACAGCTCTCGTCGGCACGGGATCTGGCACTTTCGGACCGTCTGCCTGCACTCAGCAAGGTTGTCGGCATGGTTCATGCCAGTGTACTGTAGCGTCCAGGGTACTGAAATGTTCTGTCACCCAAGCCTTCGATTGTCTATGCTCGCCCAAGTAAGCTTGAGGGTTTCAGGGGTATATAAAGGGTCCTATTTCGCCTGTGCGGCTAAGGAAGCTCACGAGGGCCGGATTGGAAGCCTCAATTTGCAATTCTTTGGCCCAGACCACCCCCCCGCCACCCCTCGCACCCCTACCCCGCCGGCAAGCCATTGATATATCCTCACAGACCTCCTGAAACAAAAAGCTATTAAAGCCTCAAATAAAGCCGTTGATCTCCCGTAAAATGTATGCAGAAGATGCCACCTCTGCGCTTTCACTTGAGTCTTCGTTTGCTTCTTGCGCCGCCAGCAGCTCACGCTTCGCTCGTTCCAGATCGGCATTCGCCGCCTGTGAGCTCAGTTGCGAAATCCTACACCCTCCAGGCTAAAGCCTGTGCACCTTGGCAAGCCACACATCCTAGAAGCCTTTTGCTCTGAAACCCAAATCCCATACCACAAATGCTAAAACCTGTATACAGCAAAACCCTAACTGCTACACCCCATCACCAAACTGTGCAAACCAATATCCCAAACCTAAGCCCTCAAAGTCTTCCGACACTCAAAAGCGAAATCCAAGCCCTTTTCCCTAAATCCTATAACAACCCGATTAACCCCAAGGACCTTAACGCCCAAACCTTATAAAGTTTTCACCCTACAGCCTAGTTGCTTTAGGGTTCTCAGGGCTGCAGACCTTTAAGAGTGTTGCTGCTGCTTTCGCGTGGCACTAGGGTTGATGGTTTTGGGATTAGGTTGACTTTAGGGCTGGATGCTGTCACTCATTGAAGTCCTTTCTCTGGTGGATGTGTAGATGATGGTCCAATTGTAGCGGTTTCAAGAATGTAGCTTTCACAGTTCCAACCGAGTCATATGTGGGCTTTCTCAACATGGGCCATCAAGCCGACAGTAAACCTGCTAAAGCGCTAGACAACCGGAATAGGAGCTGGAGGCAGAAACCAAGCGTACTACAGCGATGCGGGAATGTAGAGTAATGGAGCTGCAAATCCGCTGATGGGGCTCATCATCGTTTCCCAGCGGCAATTACAGTAAGCATCATCGCACGAACCTCGGCACTAGATCTTGATGAAAACTTCTTACCTTCGCAACTGGCAGAGCCGTGGAGTAAATATGGCAAGCCAAGCACAAGCTGCGAGGAACGGTTCTTGCGATCAATTGCACGCATGAATGGAACGAACATAGCAAGATAAATTCTAGCACCTCAGCAAGATTCTCATCGTCGACATACGCAGAGCTACCAAATAGTTTCGTCCTGGAGAACAGTTGACTACTGCTTGCTGCTGAAGATTTGAGGTGTCGAGCCTTCAGTGCTTCGTACGCCGCTTGCCACTCTTCGGCTGTGGCGTTTTCCTCTGGGGCCGCCGGCAGCGCCGGAGAGTCTGAGCTCTTCAGCCCCTCGCTGCGCTCGTATTCGAGCCTCGCTTTGCATGGGGTTTAGGGGGCATCGTCTCCTTGTAAAAGGCGCAGGAATTTCACAACACAGGTGACGGCAGTAGCAACCAAGCCTGGTGCTTCAAAGAGCTAGGAGGTGGAAACGCATCTCAATTCTACGAGGTTGGGAACCCATGCTCGCACTTTGGGCTTGCGGGGTTCTGAGATGTGGGGCCTGCAAAGATCATCCGAGCGGCTGGTAGGCTTTCTGCCAAAGCTCCCTCAACTCGTCAGCTTTTGGCTCAGACGCCGCACGGACGACTTTGCCAGTATTCCGATGCCAACTTCGTTGCACTTGCCGCTGTGTGCGAGATACGGCACAGGCGCACACCCCCAGTAGTGGCACGGCCTGGCCTCCAAGCGGCCTCGCAGTTTCAGAAGCCTTTGTTGGGTTGCTGGGCACGGTGTGGGCACAGAGCGCCCGCGGCACAGATGGAGGGGCTGCCAGACTGGCCATTGCACTCTGATAAATTGCGATAATCTAGGCAAGCTATCAAATTCTACACTACTGAGGGTAGGGAGATGGCCTACCTTCTCGGCTGGTCTGTAGATGTCTTTTGTTCACTGCATTTGTCTTTCCCTCGGAATGACTAGATGCTCTCCCAAAATGTTTGAACATAACGGACGACAGCTGAGCTTGAACGCCACGAGCAGTTCAAGCGAAGAGGTCCGAGATGAACAGGAAATTCTTGTATGCAGCGGACCTGAAGCTTTCGACGCCAGTGTCCAAACATTGGCCACATTTCTTTTGGCTGCACTCGCTCTTTCGTGCTGAACTTCTAGAATGAATTCCTGCACCTAATAGTCCGCGGCTTTCTGCCAACGGGTGAAACGCACTTAAGCTGACACGCACACACGAGCCTCTTGTAGAGGCATTCACAGGGAAACGGAAGCAATGTGCACCAAGGTATATCTTTCATATACATGTGCAGGAAGACATAGATTTTGTATGGGCAGCTAAGCCAGCTAAGCATAGGAGATGAATCTAGCTTTTGTTCCAACATGTTGGTCAGTTCCATCAGGTGCAAGGTGTCCCCTTCGAGTCTTCATGATTATACACGTGCATGCATGTATACGCCCACTATCATCCATCAAGCTGGCTCCTCGTGGTCTGGCTCCTCCTTGCGGCAGGGGCTTCAAATTGGTTCAGGAGCTTCGGCACTACTTGCGTTTCGAAACTCCGGGCTTGAGATCAAAGCAAAAGCAGCTGGATCGAGGACTGAAGTGGTTGGCCGCAACACGACCCCCCCGAAGCCAAAGACTCAAACCCCTATCTGAGACCAAGTGACGAAGCCGTAGCCCAAAGTCAGCTCTTGTGGGACATCCCAGCACCAACCCTTCCGTGGGTAAAGAAACATACCTCAGCGGGATAAGTTTGGTCAAATTGGATTCCGGACGTTGCTGTCTGTATAATATGTATACTATCATCATTACTATTTCCTTTAGTAATGTGATTGCCATGATTATGGTTCAGGGCCAAGGGGTCAGGAGCTACAGGGTTCAATCCGTCCCTCCTTCCTGCCCTCTCCTCTCCGTCTCCCTTGCGCTCTCGGTCTCTCCCTCTCCCTCACCCTCTCCCTCATCCTCTGTCTCTCTCCCTCTGCTTTCCCTCTCTCTCTCTCTGTCTCTCCTTCCTTGGCTTTCTGCATCCGTCTGCGTCTTTTGAGATGCCGCAAGTCTTCGGCGGCTCTCATGAAAATGGCGCGGAAGATGAAGCTGATGATGAGGATGATGCCCTCAAGCTCTGAATCCCACCTGCAGACGGCGAGATGCAGAACCCTGGCCCTAAATGCTACACCCTCAGCCTAAGACCCTACGCACTGAAAGCCTAAATACCCTCTGAAACCAAATCCCTGCACCCTAAACCCTGCAAGGCAACAACCCCGACACCCTCAATCCCGGAGACTCCGAGCAGCTTTTGAACTCGACCCGAGCGCCATCCTCGGCAGGCCTTGCACACGGGACCATCACCAAGTTGTTCCGGTCCTGTCATTGGACTAAACCCGAAACCCTAAACCCTAAACTTCTGAAGCTTTGGGCTTCTGTGTCCGGTCCTCGCGGTGTTTTGTTTGAGGTGTTTGGGGGCTCGGGGCCTTCGGGCTTCTGAGGGCCCTCGCAGTGCTGTCTTTGGGATGGCTCAAGGGCTTCTTGGGCTTCAGGGCTCAGAGTCCTAAGTTGGTCTCTAGGGTTTTTGGGGGGATTTCGGGCCATTTGGCATTTTGGGATTGGGGGGGGGGGTCTGGAGTTGAGTTTAGGACCGTGGGTGTAGGTAAGAGCTCCGGCCTAGGGCTTTTCTGATTCTTGAGCGGCAGGGGCACCCTAAACCCTAAAAGCCCTCATAGATCCCGTTTCGAGGTCGAAACTTTCTGTTTCAGCTCCGAGGTTGAAGAAGTTGAGAGGTCTGAGTCTGAGCTGTCTTAATTTGAGGGTTTAGGGTTTAAGAATACAAAGAACAGCAATGATACAAGAGCAGAAATAGTCATAACGATAACGGCAGCGATAGGAAGGACAATAAACTCTATGCCGCCAAGAAGTCATGAATTTGAAAGGGTCTTGAAAGCACTGAAGGGAGTCCTTGCAAAAAACAAGCCCAGAGAGTTTAGGGCCCCAGGTACAACTCCGACTGATTCAGAAAAGATTCAGAAGAGGCCCATCTTCGGCTACTAATGCGCTTCCGTTAAACATCCTCCCTGCAGGACGGTGGGGCTTATACTGATAGTATGCGGTTGCGGGTTTAGGTGGCGTGGGTTGACACGTACCTTGAGAGAGTCATTCGGCTAGCTGCTACATCGTCAGATCCTGCCGAGTACGATGTAGAACAGACCTGGAAGGAAGATGCTAGGAACAAAGCGGGATCATTCCAAAACGCTGCCCAGCTTCGACGTCTTTCACGTTGTACTCGGCCTGGTCTTTGCAGCAGCCGTACAACCTGCAACACCACAACAAGGGCTGCCTTTGAGTATCAAAACTTCGCCTGCCAAATCTCCTGCTGTCCTGTGCAGCCCTACGCGTGGGAGTCTTTGGGTTAGTTCGGGTTGAAGGTGTTTCAGGTTTGCTTGGTTATGCTTTGAGTTTTGGCGCTACAGCAATACTCATTGTGCAACAATGCAAGGCCGTGGCCTCTCTGAGCCGGCAGGGAGCATTCCAGACTGAAGGTTGCAGCTTCGATTCCTGTCAAAAAACCACAAACCCCAAACCCTCACATGTCTGAGCAAGAAGCGCATCGTTTGCCATGGCTGCCAAATTCGAGGGGTCGTTCCTAGGTGGGCGGACACGCGGGTACGTTATCTAGGTTGCCTACAATGCCTATCGGTATCATACTTCATCCCAGACATCTATGCATTGGTATCCGTGAGAGACCGAGGTTCCAGGCCACGTAGGATTTGTACGGCTCAGACAAGGCATAACCTGAGATCGTAGCTTTCGGATCCAGGATTCATGCGCACTTTATTGCATCTCGGATGGGGACTTGATGCCGGCCGCGCAGATGAAACGAGCTAGAGCATCGCGGCAGAGACTGGCAGTGATTGAAAACTTTCCCATAGGCGTGCATTACAGAGAGCATGCTGCTTCAGCGAATGCCCATCTATCCCAGCTCCCGAAACTTTTGGCCAGGCAAGGGCACACTGCTCGTCCTCATCCCAGGTGATGAGTTGAGAGCATCGCCCCTCTTCCAGCCACTCGCGCAGTGTCTCGTGCAGCGGGCGGAGGGTGCCCCACAGCTCCCCCGCGGTGTATTCGTCACGAAGCCATCCTTTTAGCGAATATGCAGGCTAAAGCTTCAAAAGCGAAGCCAAAAATCTAGCGGAGTTTCCTGTGCTTTGCCTAAACCCAGTACTCATCGATTACGAGACATGTGGGATGCCGACAACTTGGCAAAATCGACAATGATTTTAAAATTGCCGCAGGGATGCCGAACTTTCCGCCAAAGACCTTGCTTCTCTGGCAAAGAATTCAGAGTCTCAAAGGCAACTGCCAACAGAAACTCTACCTCACAGACTAAAGCCAAAACAGGCCGTCCCCGACACTTGCAAAAGTTTGCCTTGATAGACCCCTAAACTCTCTATGAGCAAGCAATTAAACCCAGACTCAAGACCCAAATTGTCGAGAAGAGGCCATGCAAACCATGAACTCTGACTCCGGTGACTTCTCCTCGCAATGCCTCTCCGCTTCATCGTCTTCCAGAAAACCTATGAGCGCGGCCCGCACACTCGGGTTTGGGGGGTTTAGGGTTCTTCAGTTTAAGGTGTAGGGATTAGGGGTAGGGGTTAAGGGTTTATAGGCTTGAGAGAGAGTTTGGAGGGCTAGGGCCGGCTAGGGGTCTCGGTGCTCACAACGAAGGGGTTTGGGGTTCCTTCTTACCTACCCCGGCAGTGCCTCTTCTTTGAGTTGGTCTGCTTCCTTACTATGTGTGACTAGGGTCCCCAAAATGAAGACAATGAGGTCAAGATCTCCAACAGTGCAACTCTTAGCCCAAAAATCTGACTCCCCCCGTGACCGGTAGCAGCCCAGATGCCGTCCACCCCAAGAGAGCGGTCACGCAGCAGCTCAACAGGAGCTGGGGGACCCGGGGCAGTGGTGAACCTCGACTTCTATGCGAGCTCTTGCTCTGATCATAGGGTCGCAGGATTGGCTTTTTTAGGGTTTGGGTTTGCTGTACAAGGATTGGATGTAGAGTTCAGGCTTTGAAGTTTTCGATAACACCGATTCGACCCCTGCCACCCACAAAAGATCCTCCCTGAGTGCAAGAACCTCCCTTGAGGAGCTCCGATTCTTGAATCGTCGGACATACGGTGGGTGGACAAAATCGCGCATGAGCGACAGCAAGAAGAGCAGGACACGTTGACTGGCTGATTCCCCTCNNCCCCTCACCCCTCTAATGTCAATGTTGATGACGCAGATACGTGATGCAGGATTTCGTCCATTCGCCGATATGCCTTTCTTTAAGAGCGGCTTGGCATCAATACTAAGATTCAGGGTTTGGAAGGGATGGGCTGTAATCGAAAATCGATGCAGGATTTCGCCCATCAACAGTACTCAGTACAAGAATCAGGTTGTTGCATTAAAGAAGATGTGGCTCCCACTGCTTTTAATTTCAGAAACGGCAGTAGATGAGGTCATAAGCA